GGGAGGCGTTGTGCGATCCAAGTGATACATGAGGCCGTTTATTGAGCGTTACAGAGGGGGAGGAGGAGGATGGGGGGGTCCTGGAGGAAGGATGGCGAGGGCGGGGGGATAACTGTGCATCTATACAGGGTTGGGGGGATTGGAGGGGGGGGCCGGGACACCCCCCCGGCTGCTACATGGTCAGCTCCTGCAGGGGAGAAAGAAGAGGGTCAAGGACCCCCCCAAAAGACCCAGAAGGTCCCCCAAAGTTCATGCTGGGGGAGGTATAAGGAGGGGGGGGATTTAACCACGACTTGGAGCCCCCCCCAGAATCCCCGGGCACTCACCATGATGGCGTTGACGATGTCGTTGTTGTTGTGCCGAAGCGCCCGCACGGCTTTGGGCCGCGAGACGTTGGCTTGGGCCATCACCAGCTCGATGTCCCTCACCTCCAGCCCTGTCTCATCCACCTGCCAGGGGAATCAATCATAGAACCATCACCATCTAGAACCACCACCATCTAGAAGGTTGGAAGGGACCTTAAAGATCATCTAGTCCAACCATCAACCTAACTCTGACAAAAACATAAATAAGAAAAACAAACCAAACCACTAAACCATATTCCTGAGGACCATGTCAACCCCTCTTTTGAACACCTCCAGGGATGGTGACTCCACCACTGCCCTGGGCAGCCTCTGCCAATGCTTCACAACCCTTTCCAGGAGGAATATTTCCCAATCTCCATCCTAAACCTCCCCTGGTGCAACTTGAGGCCGTTTCCTCTTGTCCCATCGCCTGTTCCTTGAGAGAAGAGACCGACCCCCCTGGCTACACCCTCCTTTCAGGGCATTGGAGAGAGCAAGGTGGTCTCCCCTCAGCCTCCTTTTCTCCAGGCTGAACATCCCCAGCTCCCTCAGCTGCTCCTCACAAGTTCTCCAGACCCTTCTCCTTGGTCTCCAGACCCCTCCCCAGCTCTGTTGTCCTTCTCTGGACACGCTCCAGCCCCTCAATGTCTTTCTTGGTGTGATGGGCCCAAAACTGGACCCAGCCCTTGAGGTGGGGCCCCACCAGTACCCAGTCCAAGGTGGGACATTGTCACCCCTCCCGCCCATGGTGCTGATTTGCCTCCCCAAAGGGACACTGGTTTTGGGGTGGGGGGGAAGGTCCCTCTTCACCCACCTCCTCCTCTTCCTCGCTCTCCTCCTTGATGGTGAGGGTCGGGGCCGTCTCCGTGATGAGGGGTGAGTGCTCCATGGGCACCTTGAACTTCTCCGCCGCCGCCTTGTGCACTTGCTGCGACAGGTCCTCGATCTGATGGGGTGGGGTGGGACACAGGGGGTCACCTACAGGCCACCAAGGATGGGTTCCCTCCACCACCACCTTTTTTTTTCCACCCCTCCCCTGCCATCACCTTGGCTTCCCCGAAGACGATGTAGATGTCGGACGCGGGGCTCTTGAAGACGTCGGGTTTGGTGATGACGAAGAGGATGTTCTTGGACTTGCGGATGGTGATGCGGGTGACGCCGTGGATCTGCCGCAGCCCCAGCTTGGACATGGCCTTCGAGGGGTGGGGGCGACACACATGGGGGGGTCACCTCAGGTCCCCCACACCCAGAGTAGACCCGGGGTGGGGAGGGGGTCTCCAGCCTCCCCCACCACCATCCCAAACCCCTCCTACAACAGCGAAACCAGGGATGGGGGACAACGTTGTCCCCTAGCATGGCCACACTGAGCCCCCCCAGAATGGGGGACCCCACATCAGCCCCCCCTCCAGTGCTGGGACACCCCCATGTGATGAGGAGACCTCCCCTTCCCCCAGAGTGGAGACATGTCCCCCAACACCCCATATCCAGGGCTATTTCCCCTCCAGCCCATCGTATCCTCCAAACCCAGGAATGGGATGGGGACCCCAGTCCCATGGGGGACCCCCAGCTCCATGGGGGACCCCAAAACCCCCCCCAGGGACCCCAAAACCCACCCCAGGGTGGGGGCCAATCCCACCTTCCTGGCCTTCTTCTCGCTCCGGCTCTGCTTGGCTTTACTGACGGTCTCCTCCCCGGTGCCCAGCGAGTGGGTGAGCTGTGCCTGCCAGAGAGGGG